CTCCCTATGGGGCCACGAAACGTGTGAGGGGTGTGCCGAATTGGGTGTGCGTGACGCATGCGGGCGGCAGCACTGGGGCCTTCGGCGGAGCTCCCTATGGGGCTACGAAACGTGTAAGGGGTGTGCCGAATTGGGTGTGCGTGACGCATGCGGGCGGCAGCACTGGGGCCTTCGGCGGAGCTCCTATAGGGCCACGAAACGTGTGAGGGGTGTGCCGAAATTGGTGTGCGGGACGCATGCGGGCGGCAGCACTGGGGCCTTCGGCGGAGCTCCCTATGGGGCCACGAAACGCGTGAGGGCTTGTTGCCCGAATTTGGGCGTCCTCCGTGACGCATGCGGGCGGCAGCACTGGGGCCTTCGGCGGAGCTCCTATGGGGCCACGAAACGTGTGAGGGGTGTGCCGAATTGGGTGTGCGTGACGCATGCGGGCAGCAGCACTGGGGCCTTCGGAGGAGCTCCCTGTGGGGCCACGAAACGTGTGAGGGGTGTGCCGAATTTGGTGTGCGTGACGCATGCGGGCGGCAGCACTGGGGCCTTCGGCGGAGCTCCTTCTGGGGCCACGAAACGTGTGAGGGGTGTGCCGAATTGGGTGTGCGGGACGCATGCGGGCGGCAGCACTGGGGCCTTCGGTGGAGCTCCCTATGGGGCCACGAAACGTGTGAGGGGTGTGCCGAAATGGGTGACGCATGCGGGCGGCAGCACTGGGGCCTTCGGCGGAGCCCCTATGGGGCCACGAAACGTGTGAGGGGTGTGCCGAATTGTGTGTGGGTGACGCATGCGGGCGGCAGCACTGGGGCCTTCGGCGGAGCTCCTATGGGGCTACGAAACGCTGTACTGGGTGGGTGAAACGCAGGGAAGAGGGGGAGGAGGGAGGAGGAGGGGGAGGAGGAGGAGGAGAGGAGGGGAGAGGAGAGGAGAGGAGGAGAGGAGAGGAGAGGAGAGGAGAGGAGAGGAGGACGCGGGGACCGTCTCTTCAAAACGAGGACCCAACACCACAGGATGGTTGGGGAAAAAACGTCCCGCACCAGACCCCCGCCGACTACGATGCCGGGCCGCCCCTTGGCCCCAGTGGCAGGGCTGAGGAGGAGGAAGAGGGGGAGGAAGAGGAGGAGCAGGAGGAGGAGGAGGAAGAGGAAGAGGAAGAAGAGAGGAGAGGAGAGGAGAGGAGAGGAGAGGAGAGGAGAGGAGAGGAGAGGAGAGGAGAGGAGAGGAGGGGAGAGGAGAGGGGAGAGGAGAGGAGGCGAGGACAAGAGGAGCAATGGCTTTCAAAAACTGTCGCTTGTTCTTAGGAATGCTTAGCAATCCGATTGTTTGTGTGCTTCAGAATGGTGCTCCCGCGTTCCCGATACAGCTTGGGCCTCATGTTCGGATCCTCGCTTTGCTCCCGCCGTTCAGACTGGCGCTCTCGCCCCGACGCGGGCGAATTTTCTGGATCCTCGTCTTGCTTCGCGGTGGTCCACCCCTCATCTCCCCTCCACCACCTTCCCCAGGTCCCCCTGTTCCTCCCGCTTCTTCCATTCCAATTCCTGCTGCTGCTGCTGCTGTTGCTGCTCGTCTCGCCCGAGCGCGGGCCACTTTCTGAATGAGTCTTTCTTCAGCGTTCTCGCCCCCCTCATTTCCCATCCCCCGCCTTCCCCTGGTCCTCCTTTTCCTCCCGATCCTTCCGCTTTCGTTCCTGCTGCTACTGCTGTTCGTCCTCATCCGTTTTCCTCCCGCTCATCCTCCTTTTTCACCCGCCACTTCCTCCTTCTGTGCACGTAGTTATCATTGTTTGTCGATTGCGCATAACACGATGTGGTCGTTCCGTTCGAACCGCAGGTCGGCTATGCCACACGCGTCCGCGGATAGTGAAAATCATCGCCACGGGAAGGGATGGGAAAGCATGTATAGGATGTCAAATGAGGCGCGAGGGCACCCAGCGTGTCCTCCTCCTCGCTCTCGCCCCTCCCTCGCTGGTGCCTGTGCCACGGGGCCCCCCTCCCAGGAGAACAGGCGGGTAGCCTCCCGTTCGTCACCCAGGGCTTGGCCCTTGGGGGAGGGGGGGGGGATAACCGTAGTCGCTCCAAGCCTGCGCCGCCGTGGGAACGGCTGGACACCGCGTGGCCGTGCGCGGCCCGGCGGGGGCAGTCCAAGATCGATGTGTGTTGTCTGGACGTCTGTTGGGTGTCCTGGCGGGTCCCGGGGGCTGGGGCTCCTGGCGGCGCGCCCTCCCCCCTCGGACCCCGCGGCCTCGCGGGCCCAGCCGCTGGTCTGCGACCCCGTGCCTGCGGGACATCTCCTCGCGGACGCCCCGCGCGGCACGTGTATCCGCGCGTGGCCGTGCGCGGCGGAGCGGGGGCGAGCGGGGGCACTCCTGCTGCACGAGCGCGTTCCGCTACTCGCAGAGTCGCTGCCCGCAAACGGCCTGGATCCGCCCCAGGGGATCTACGATAAGGTACGTCAGAGCAGACTCGTGCTGTTGGGAAGTTTGCGAGCAGGCACTTTGCGAGTAGTGGAACGCGCTCGGCGAAGCCTACCGTGACGGGGACAACGCCGCCCGAGGCCGGGTGGCGGGGGGTGCGGCGAGCAGCCCGGTCACGTCTCGCCCGCGGCACGCCACGCGTGCCGCAGCCGGACCACCTCGGCCAGCGCGTCGTCGGCTGCCTGCTTTACTCGACCGCCTGCTTTACTCGACCGCTCAGCCGAGCTTTCCCCGCTCTCCTGTGCGCCTGTTTTTCTTTACGACGTCTGTCTTGGCAGTGATCCTGGCCCCCCCTCCCCTCCCCCCCCTCCCTCCCAGACCCCTCCCTGGCTCCTCCCCTTCCCCCTCCTCCGCCCTCTTCCGCCCTCTTCCGCCCTCATCCTCCACCCCGTCAGCTTCCCTTCCTCTCGTCCTCGTTCTCGTCGTCGTCCTCCTCCTCCCTCCTCCTGCTCCTTCTCCTCATCCTCATCCTCCTCCTCCTCCTCCTCCTCCTCTCCTCCTCCTCCTCCTCCTCCCCCTTCTCCCCCTCCCCCCCCTCCTCCTCAGCATCACCATCGTCATTCATGTTTTTCATCTTGCCACTGTTCCCTCCCGCCCTCCTGGTTCGGCCGTCGTGCCCGGGCGATCCCGTGGGGAGCGTCGAGCGAGTGCTGATGGCGGGGGAACGCAAACTGGGAGGGGGGACAGGCGTTTCCCAAACGAGGCAGTTGGACGCGAAAGCCCTTCGCACAGATGGAACGCTGTTCGAGCTGAACACACACACACACACACACACATGACACATATCGAACGGCGGCTCGTCCATGCTTGCGGCGCCAATTTCTGACGTGGCCCTTGAGTGGCACCGCGAACGTCGCGCGCGGGAGCCTCTCACCCACGGCCGGCCAGAACTCGCAAGTGTGAAGATGTCACAGAAAGTGTCCCCCCAAACTGCCGCGGTGGGTCGAGAAGTGGCTCGAGAGTGCGCTCCAGGGACCCAGTGCTGCATTGCGCTCAGTGCAGGACGCCAACAAACCGCATACACTTTTTGACGGGGCGCGGCGGCCGCGCGCGCAACCCATCGGGTCTGACGTTGCTCCATCAGCCAGATAATGCCAGATGCTTCATGCGCGTAAATTCCACTGCGCAGTAAACCGCCGGCACAGTCCCCGCGCCGAACATGCTCAAAAAGGTGCACAAAGGGCCTCGAAAGGGCCCCTAACGTGTGCCAAAGGTGCTGCTGTCTTCACCCCTACCCCATGTGTAGACCCCCCACACTACCACTCGAAACAGAAAACTCATGCTCCTCCCCCGCATCCTCCGCCGTCCCTCCTTGCGAAGCCCAGCGGGAAACCCTACAGGCGTGGGAGGCACCGTGGCCTCGACACTCAGTGGGCCCAACTGACACAACACACTGGGAAGTGCCGGGCGTCGGCTCGGAGCGAGCCCCGCACCAGCCAACAACATCTGGGGGACGACAACGACGAGGACACGAGCGCAGAGGTCGGAGGTCCGCGCGGGCTTCTCAGATCGGCGCTGGACCCCCCTCCCTGGCGCGCGGAGCGCACGAGGAGCGGCGCCGCAGGCGTCGCTAGGGGGGGGGGGGCCAGCGCAGATCGCAGAACTCCGCGCGGAGCGCCAAACTCGGCAACGTCTTCTTCGCAACACGGCAAAAGCCAGTCCGTGCCCCGAAGCCCCCGCCGCCAGCCCCCACTAGAGGCGCCGCTAGAGGGCCGCCAGGGCGGCGCCGCAGGCGCCGATCCAAAACATCTGCGCGGAACTCCGAACGCTTAAGGTATTTCGAGGATCTACTGACGCGGGTCAATACCAACCTGGGTTAGTCGGGCCTTGCAGGATCCTGCGTCCAAGCCCGGGTCAGTGCGCCCATGGCCCTGCAGGATCCTGCAAATTCTGGCGCTCTGGCTGACCACCGTTTGCATTGATAGAATAAGACGGAGAAGGAGGAGAAGGAGCAGAAGACAAAGATAATTTGTTGGCGCTCCGCGCGGATTTCTTGGATCTGCACTGGACCCCCCCCTGGAGCGCGCCAGGGGCGGCGCCAGAGGAGCCACTGGGGGGGCCCAGCGCCGATCCAAAAAATCTGCGCAGATCTCCAAAAGTTTGCGGTGATACGGCTTCGGAGATCTGCTGACCCAGGTCAATCCAAACCTGGGTCAGTCTGCACCCAAGCCCGGCTCAATGCGCCCCCCATGGCCCTGCAGGATCCTGCAAGATCCGGCGCTCTGACTTAGAGGAAGAGCAGAAACACATCAACATACTGTTGGAGGTCCGCGGGGATCTCTGGAGCTGCGCTGGACCCCCGTCCCTGGCGCGCGGAGCGCGCCAGGGGCGGCGCAGGAGGCGCCGCCCGGGGGGGCCCAGCGCGGACCGACGAGACCCGCGCGGGGCGCCGAAAGTGTATGTGTATGGCGCGTTTTCTCCCTCGAGCCTCTTGACCTCCGACAGCTCCTTCCTCGCAGCACGGCAACAATTAACCAGTCCGTTCCCCGAGGCCCCCGCCGCAGCGGGCGCCGACCGCCCCCCCCCTCCCCGCGCGGGCCAGGGCGGTGATCTTCAGCCCGCTGCGCCGCAGGAGCCGCATGCGCGCCTGCCCGGAGCTCGTCGTCGTCGACGTCGCCGCCCTCGCCATCGCCCCGGACCTCCTGGGCGCGAAATAGTGGGGGGGCGGTACATGGATACGATACGACCACCTCTGCGGACATCGTCTGGGCCCAGCTAAGACTAGGTGGGCAAGGCCTTGGCCTCAGAAGTCGGGCGTGTCTGGACAACATGCAGTCCGAGACACCTGTATAGCAAGTTACGAGGGGAGGGGGAGGACAAAAAAATGGGAGTGGAGAAAGGTGCCCCTCTCGCGCCCTGAAGACCCCCCTTTGGGCCCTGAAGGGCCCCTTGGGGGGGCCTCAAAGGGCACCATTTCTGCAGCCCTCGCTGACCCCCCCACCCCCCACGTACCGCCCCCCCCTTACGCGCCCCCCGAACTTCTTCTCATGCTTTTAGCCGGCAGGCTGCTCGAAGCGCCCGTCCCTCGGCCGACTCTGGGCCACTGGAGCGCCCGGGGTGGGGTTGATACCGCGTTAGGACCACACGAGCCTCCCGTGCGCTCTCCGCTGCCCGCGTGCCGTTCAACAAATGCGCGGGCAGGCCTCCAGGCGATCGACCCGGCGGACCCTCACGGGCGGGTCGGGCGGGCAGACACTGTCGGGCAGGTCGGGCGGGCGGAACATTCAACCGCGAATCCTGACAAATGGCAGGAACGTCTCTGGCGACAGCGCGAACCATACGTAACTTACGGGGAGGCACTTGGCGAGAGCACTATTCCGTGCCGACGAAAGAGCAAACCCATCAGAACCTAAAAGTTTCACACGGGGACATTGCTTTTTTAGTGAATTGCACGGGGATCTCGAGCGAGAGCGCGATTCCAGAATCCCACCAGCAGTCTGGGCGTGAGTTGACTAGAAAGTGCATATTCGGTTGCTTCGATCGGCGATAGCACAGGTTGTCCAAGGCGTTAACCTTCGCGCTGTGGGCTGCCCCCCGCAAATACCCAGGACTACGAGTGCTGCGGCCCCCACAGCTGCGAACGAGGCTGCGACGATGCTGCGCTTCGCTCTGCGACGATGATGGCTCCCTGTGGGAAAGCCAGAGGAGGCGCCTGGACACTTCGTAAGGGCGTGCCTGCCCAGTGAGCTCGCTGGGCCCCCCCCCTTCCAGACACTTGTCCGGGGGGGGGGGGGGCAGCCCGGCAACCCGGATTATCGCTGGCCCCCCACACAAAACAGCGTCGTAGCCCGACCTGCGGTACACGCTGCGGCGTGGCGACGAGGCGGCGGCGGGGCGGCGCGGGGCGGCGGCGGGGCGGCCGGGCGGCAGCGGCGGCGGCGGCGGCAGCGGCAGCGGGGCGGCGGCGGCCCCCCGGGTGTGCTCCCCTCCCGTGCGTTCGAGCCGCGGCCCAGCTTCTGCACCATGGTGGCGGCCGCGTCCCGCCGCAGCCGCTCCCGAGCCTGGGCGCCGCGCACGATCCTGGCGGCCGCGGACCGCCGCGCGCCGCGGCGGCGGCGGCGACGGCGACGACGACGCCGGCTGAGACGACGGCGTTGGCGACGACCCTGGGATCCTTGCGTCGCCGTTCTTTCACCACGGGCGATGCTGCCTTGTTTCGGGCCGTGTAACCATCACAAATCGACCCCGCTCGGAAACAACCGCAGAAAATGCAAGTCTAGGGATCCCGCCGTGAGTGTTCGCGATGTCTCAAGGGACGGCGGCGGCGGCGACGGCGGCAACAACAACGGCGGCGGCGACGGGGGCGGCGACGGCACCGTCACCTTCCCTCCCTCCTTGTCGTCGTTGGCGCCGTCCTCCGACTCGTCGTCATTTTCTGAGGCATGGTGTCGAGACAGCTTGGCCCGTAGCGTCAGCACGCGGGGCGGGCCGTCCGCGCGAACAAGAATGGCCAAACGACCCCGATGAAGCCCAGGTCCACCAGGACCGCCAGGGCCAGCGGGACGCGCCGAGTGTGGGGTCGAGGCTCCAGAAGGGCGAGCGGCAGCTCTGGCCTGGTCCAACTCGGGGAGAGAAGGTCGAGGAGGACTCTCCTCTTCTTCCTCCTCCTCCTCCTCGTCGTGCTGATGCGACTGCTCCATCCCGTGCTGCTGCCTCTCCTCCTGCTCCTCCTGTACTCGTGGATCTGTGACAAAGCGGACGCGCTCGTGCAATACACAGCAGGCCGACTGGACATCCCTGCCGTGAAACTCGCGGCGATCGCAGGCCACACTCCGAACCCCGACCGTCCTCCTCCTCCTCCTCCTCCTCCTCCTCCTCCTCCTCCTTCTCCTCCGTAGCCATTTTGGCTCAAGGCTGATGCTTCTGCGGGCGGAGCCCGCATCGGCGAAACTGGATACCGCTAGTCCGCGGCATACCCCGTCTGTTTCGCAGAGCCTGGTCCGCCCCAGGACTCTGCGTGCCGCCTGCAGCCCGCAGGTGAGCACTCCTGTTGCTCAGCGACCCGCGGCATGGGAGACGATGGCAAGGCAGCGGGGTATATTGGGTGCAAAGCGTGCGGCTACAAGTGGAACTGGAGAAGCAAAGTCGAGTGTTTCAGGTGCAAGGCGAAGCTCCGCCCCACCGTCGGCGTCCCACCGCCACCGTCTGGAGTTTGGGCACAGAATGGATCTCATTCTGCGGGTTGGCCACGCTCGGGACGGCAGTGGAAGAAGTGGGCACCATGGCGGCACTCCACGTACGCAAGCACCAAGGCTGGCTGGGACACCGTGGAGGCGCAGATGGGCGATGGCGGACAGTCCGACCCGATCACCACGGTCTCCCTCATCACGAGCTTGGCTGCGTACCAGGGCGTCGGCGAGAAGAGCGACCCCACCATCACGGCCGCCTTGGACACGCTGCGCCGCAAAGCCCAAGAGGAGGAGGCCAACGCCAAGCCTGCACCAGCCCCACCCAAGCAGCGCACAGGCGCCCAGCTGCTGGCTGACGCCAATCGCGCGCTCAAGGAGCTGGACAATCGCATCGAGAAGCAGCGGACGAAGCTCACGGGCGCGCAGCTGTACTTGGACGACCAGCTCGAGAAGATGGACAAGTTGGCCCAGCAGAGGGTCGAGGTGCAGCAGCGGCATCTCACGGCGCTCCAACAGGCCAACCAGGAGTCGGGCATCATCGTGGTCAAACCCGATGAGAAGACCCTCAACGTCAAGTTCGAGTACGACGGCTCGCTCTTCGAGGGCCTCGAGGAGTGCGACATACCGTCCGAGGAGATGGACAGCATCATGCAGTGGAAGAGCGAGCTGGAGCAGTTCCAGAAGGAGCAGCTGGGCACCCTGCAGGCGAAGTTCAAGTACATCGAGGAGATCCACCAGGAGGCAAAGAAGGCCATGCAGGCCCCCAAAAAGAAGCGTAAGGTCGAAGCAGGAACGGAAGGACCCAAGGCAGAGGCAGTGGAAGAGGACCCCCCTGCGCCAGAGGCACCCACCACAGAAACGCCAGCGACCGCAAGCAACGGCGCAGGTGCGGCAGCCATCAACCCCGAGGACGAGAAGAAGAAGATCAGGGATGCCAATCAGGCAGCCTTGGAGCAGGCTCGGGCTGAGAGGCGCAAGGCTCGCGAAGCTCATGAGCAAGCTGACGGTCTGGCTGATGGTGCTGAGCAGTCTGGGCTTTAGCGAGGCACAGTCCACCCAGCAGCAGAGCGAGGAGTTCCAGGTCCTGTTCGGCAACATTACGGAGTGGGGCCCACAGGTGCAGAACTACGTACAAGGCCCAGCCGCGCAGCAGTTCGATTGCCTGGCGTTTGTGGAAACGCATAAGGGGCCAAACCAAGTCTCAGCCATGAAGACGTTCCTGCAGAAGGAAGGATGGAAGGCGGCGATTACCCCCGCGGTCCCCAGTGGCAAGTCGGAGAAAGGATGGTCCGCGGGTGAACTCGTCGCCACGCGCACACACATACAGTCCACGTCCTTGGAGCACTGGAAGGGCAAGCACGACAAGAAAGGGGACTCGGCCTTCGTCGGGTTCTCCCCCATGGTGCTGCACCTCAGCATCGGCAATTTCATCATCATCGCGGCGTACCTACTACCGGCCCTGCGTTTCACGGGCAGGAACCGAAAGGTCATGGCAGCCCTCACGGCCTTCGTGCGCTTGCTGAAGGACCCATGGCTCGTCGTGGCGGATTGGAACTGCGTCCCTACTGAGCTGCTCGCATCTGGTTGGATAGAACAGATGCGAGGCGAGATCGTCACGGGCCCAGAGGAGGTCACATGCGACAAAGGCAAGGGCTCCCTCTACGACTACGGCGTCGTCGCCGCGGGCTGCAAGGAAGGGCTTACCATTGCCAAAGAGCTGACAGTACCATGGGCGACGCATTGTGGGCTTCGCATCAGGCTGGCAGGCAAGAAGCAGCGATGGTGGCACCGCGCGCTGGACATTCCCAAAGCGTTGCCCACGGTGCCGAGGCCGAAGAAGCAGAAGGACCTGGACAGCAAGCGGAGTAAGCAGCAGGTACGACGCCAACAGAGACGCGAAGAGCTGGAACCTGTACTTCGGCATGGTTTCGACCTCCTCGAGCAGGATCCAGGCACAACGACTACGAACACATCCCCGACAACTCAGACTCCAAGCGCGGACTCACCGTCCATCAATTTCCACATCAGTAGCGCTACGTGGGAGGATGCCAAATGGGGATTGTCTGGCACCCCACCGGATATACAACTCAGAGGGGACCGTTGGCGACCTCAGGCCTATCGTGATCGCCCACTGCTGGCGCAGAAGTTGGCGAACAGCTACGGCAGGTGGATCGAGGCCGTGGAGGAGGCAGTTTTGCAACATTCAGAGGTACCCCAACACCAACGAGACGGCTATCGAGGAAGGGCGCAGGGTTTCGGCATCAAGTGGAAAAAGAGCACAGCATCGCCAGGCAGACCGCATCTGTACAATTCTGAGGCAGATTGGTGGGCCATCACGCACACGCAGGTGATCGCGATCAACGGCCTAGTGAAAAGCAACAAAGACCCACAGCAGCTGCTACAACGAGGGCAAGAGTTTCGACAGCGTATACAGCAGGTACATGTGGTCAGCAAGCACAACGATATCGAGCTGCTCAACCAGTGGCAGCAGATGGCGCACGACATTTTCAGCCCAGCCCGTCAGGAGAGAGAGGACGTGATAGAGATCACCGAGAGGTTGGCAGGACAAGCTGCGCGGAGAGCTCTGGCAGATGGCACAAAGGGCTTCATCAGGTGGGCGCAAGATATGTGGAAGAAGACCCCTGGAGCCCTGCACAGGTGGACGAAGGACACGCAGCAGCCGCGGCTCGAGGAGATGATCTCAGGCAAGATCGTGGCCGACCCCATCCTCATCATGAGCCACAAGAGCGAAAGTTGGGCCAAGAAGTGGACGGCCGCCCCACATAGACGGGCAGCACTTGCATGCGCTCTTCGACGTTGCCGTCTCTCGGCGGCCCAAGAGGACCTCCCACAGCTCACGATCCAGGACCTCAACGCAGCCACCCACCGTATGGGGGTCAAGAAGGCACGAGGTATCGATGCGATAGGTCCCTTGGACATCGAGAGGCTCCCTGACCAGGCCAAGTACGACTTTTTGGATATCATCGCGCAAGCCGAAGAGCATCTGATGTGGCCTCCTCAAGTCCTAGGCACCATCGGCGCGATCGCGGGCAAACCAGCAGAAGGTGATCGGGTCTTAGGGCTTTTACCTATGACGATTCGTATATGGTCACGAATGCGATCGGGAGTGGTCGAGTCGTGGACGCAGCAGTTGGAGGACCACTGGGATACAGCGTTGCGTAGATCCTCGGCGTTACGAGCGGCTTTGCTGCGAGCTACCCTCGACGAGACGGGCCGTTCCATGGGCATTGCACATGCGGAGTTGTTCGCGGATATGGAGCAGTTTTACGATTCGTTAGACTTGGGATGGCTTATTGACACGGGGATCGAGCTGGATTCCTCACCGACAATTATGGCTATGGAGGTCGAAGCGTTCCTGGGCCCACGGCACCTCAAGCACACGGAGTGGATCGGACCCAGGATCGACCCGTCATGTTCGATCGTGGCGGGCTCAGCCCAAGGGACTAGATTTGCCAAGGTGTACCTGTTCCCGCTCTTGGACGCAGCCCAGAAGCGAGTCCAGGCAGCGGGTCTATGGACATACGTGGACGACACGGTTGGAAGGGTCGAAGGTACCGAGGAGACGGTGGAGCAGCAGATGGTGGAGTTGGTCGATGAGTTCATCATCCAGGCAGAGAAGCGCAGCCTCATCATCTCGCCCAAGACGGTGCTCGTGGCATCCAATCCCAAGCTCCGAAGACGAATGCGGCGCAGACTACAACGCCGAGGACTCCCTGGTAAGCAACAAAGCGACATGGTGGACTTGGGCACCGACGTCAGTGGCATGGGCAGGCGCACACAGAAAAAGGCTCGGGCGCGGCAGCGAAAGGCCAAGCAACGAGCGGGCAATATTTTCAGGCTACGAAGGATGGCGACGCGAGTGGCGAGGATTACCAAGGGCCTCTTCACCACAGGCGTCTCCCCTCAGGAGTCACATGGGCACGAGGTCTGGGGCATTGCACCTAGCCGAATATTACAGTTACGACGTATGGCCATGAAGTCGGCGGCGGGCACAGGACCAGGAAGGTGCTTATCCACTGGCATGGCTGTGCTGTATCACTTGAAGGGCCCAGGCATCAGCTTGCGACGGCAACTTGTCAGCGAATGGCTACACCAATGGCTCCTTCACCCAGAAATTCATCGACGAGTACGACAAGCATGGGGACCGACTTACCGTGCGTTGGTCAGAGCAGGCACGCAGCTGTGGCGTAAGGTACTCGGCCCAGTGGCAGCGGTGCAGGCTACTCTAATGGCGGCGGGGTGGAAGCCAATCCAGGCGGCACTATGGAAGCGACCGACACCACAAGGTGACGAACAATGGCAGCTCCCCTTCATAGGTGACGATGGCAAGTGCGACATTGATGCTATAGAGTACACACAGCTGCTGGAGGATCTGGAGTACGACCTAGAAATGGCGAGGCGGGCTCAAGCAGCTACGCATTTGCACGGGGGCGACTTGCAACGAGGAGGAGACATATGGCACATAAGTAAGGAGCAACAAAGATACAGCCAGCGGGCTGCATGGCAAGATTGGGCACTCAATAATGTTGTGGTTACGGGTGGACAATGGACTCGGCAACGGCAGATTCAGGCAGGCTACGAGTGCGACACGAACATCTGCGAGAGGTGCAAGCAGGAGCCCGAGACCATCTTCCACCGCATCTACACCTGCACGGCCAACACAGGACACGAAAACTATGAGAAGACGGACTACTTGGTGCCAAAGGCGCTCGCTGGCGTCGAGGCAAACCCGACCTTATGGCTCCGAGGTATCCCGCCCAGAGAGCTCACTCACCCAGTGGTCAACGACATCGACAGACAGGACTACGTCAGGTTCGGCGACCACGAAGCAGCTCGAGTGCTAGGACGCAGTCTCTATCTATTTGGTGATGGCTCAGGCGGTTGCTACGGTGGCGACCCCCGAAGGAGACGAGTAGGCATCGGAGTGGCGACCATGAAGATGATCGACGGCAAGTGGAGTATGTCAGCAGGTACGATGGCAGACCTACCAGGACGGCGTCAAACCGTACCGCGGGCAGAGATAACGGCCTTCGCGATCGCCATAGAGGAAACGAGAGGAGACATTGTTTACGTCACGGACCACTACCCGCTCCTCACAGCTTGGACAAAAGGCAGAGCTCAAGACCCTGGGCGAGGGAAGAACGCGGATTTATGGGCACGCATCAAGAGGGCGGTGATGGACACGCCCCCCAGACACATCGGAGTGGAGTGGACCCCGTCGCACCAGGACGAGGACGAGGTTGAGCTAGTCAACCCAAGTTTTGCGATGGGCAACAGCTTTGCAGACGCATTAGCTACGGTTGCGGCAGAAGCTTCTTGGGAAAGAGTGTGCACGCCAATACCACGGACAGACGAATGGGATGCGATCTGTGCTCATGTACGATTACGAGCGAGGCAGGCCTTGGCGGACACGGCGAACATTGACCCCTGGTGCGCTGAGAGGCCCTCCACAGCCAAGCCCAAAGCCAAGAGGGACCGAGTAAAGGAAGTCGTCGACAAGATGAAGCAGCACGATATGGTCAGGCTCAAGAATAAGTGGTTTTGCACAGCCTGCAGACAGTACATCACAGCGGACGCCATGCAGGAGTTTGCCATGACGGAATGCAACGCTACATGCAGCACGACCAACGAGATAGTCGAGGTAAAGGGCGACAGGTTCATGGGCACTGGCAAGATACATTGCAGCCACGTAGTCAGTGAATGGGTGCGGTACGGACTGCTATTCTGTGCGCGGTGCGCAGCACATGGAACGACCATTGGGAAAAGGCCACGCGAGCAGTGCAGCGAGACGATCACCAAGTACGGGCAGGATGCGCTCAACAAGATTCGGGACGGACGCTACCCTGGCTACAGGAAAGAACCACCGCGAGCTGCACAAGAGGCTCAAATAGCTAGGCAGGTGCGTGAGCTACATGATCAAGAACGGCTAGCGCCGCATGAGTACGGCGGCCCTTTGGTTGGGAATGTGCCCCCTCCAGAACCACACCCTACAACCCGACCGAGACGGATTACGAGAAAGACACCAGTGGCAAGTATTCGGCCAGCAGCGGTACACCCAACAGATTGCGAGTGCGAGCCTCTGCCTGAGCCGAGGTCACAGGAGTAGGAGGATTACGACGATCACGAGGTGCAGAGGGACATCGACGATTTCTTCAGCGAAGCGCCCCTGCGCGGGGAGGAGTCAAACCGAGGCGTACCCCAGCGTGGCGAGGGGTTAGGCCACTTCACACCCCAGCACGGTGAGGGGTTAGACCGTACAGATCGTCGTCATGCAGCTGGATCGGAATCTGCCCCCCACGGCACGCACTGGATGCACGCAGCCCCTTTGGCCACGAGTGCTGAAAGTACCGACCGTGGGGGGAGTCAGAACGTAGTAGACAGCCATAACCACGACGACAATTGCAGGATGGACGACAGCAATGGAGTATTGGATCAAGATCCAGGCGCGATGGGACTACCGCCGATCGTTGAGGACACGGGGCCACAATATTATGCCGACATGCGTGCTGATCTTAGAGAATGGGCAACACTGTGGTACGACGATCTTACGTGCTTGGCCAGAGACAGCGACAGCTGGCAGGAGTGGTGCGTAGCGATGCTGACGCAGATGCTCACCGACGAGAACAATCACCCCCTGTGCCGCACATTGAGGCGCTGGTTCCCAGGGCAGACGATGCAACAGATCATCGAGCAGCAGTGCGGAAGTGCGTGGAGACAAACAACGGCGAGAAGGGATGAGTTCTACGAACGACTCCATGCGCCAGAGACAGAACCCGAAGAGTATCGTAGATTGGCTCATCGGCATCGGCGTGAACTTGCACGGCTACGAGGCATGTTCCGCAGGGCGTTAGGAGATCGGGCGCCAGACGGACAAAGGCCGCCACCCCCACGACGGCCTGAATCAGATGACGATCATCAAGCAGGAGACCCCGTGGAAGCTGGCCTCAGTCGCGGCAGCTGGTGCTGCAGGCTTGAGCGGGCGACTGCTGGGAGTACGGATGCCACGTCACCTGCAAGAGGGACGTGCAGAGTCTCCACGGCGACAAGCGCATCGGCGGCAGCATCAAGCCCAGCGGGTGAGGGACCCCGGCGTGGCGAGGGGTTAGGCCACGATGCTCCCCAGCGCGGCGAGGGGTTAGGCCGATGGGAACATGCACTGGCGTGCTCGAGCAGGTTAGCCAGGGCCGCGGCAGGCGACTTCATCGAGCTCGAGCTCTACGAGGAGGACGACGACACTGCACCCCAGCACGGCGAGGGGTTAGGCCGTATCGACGATGAAGGACTCCTTCGAGGCGAAGGAGAACAAAGGGTCGAAGGGCGGCGTCATGATGGACAGGAGATAGTGGGGGTGCGGCCCCATGAGCACCACGACCCGATCCCCACGAGCCAGGGACAGCCCGAGGACCGCTCCGAGTGGAGCAAAGCACCCCAGCGCGGTGAGGGGTTAGACCGCGTCAACGAGAGGGAGCAGTACGGAAAGCAGTACGTCGCGCCCCAGCGCGGTGAGGGGTTAGACCGCAGCCGGCCCTCGCAGGGCGAGACTGCGGGGTCAGGCGATCCCCAGCACGGTGAGGGGTTAGACCGTAGGCTCCCCCTGCGTGGCAAGGGGTTAGGCCACCAACCCCAGCGCGGTGAGGGGTTAGACCGCGTTGTTCCCCTGCGTGGCGAGGGGTTAGGCCACAATGTTCCCCTGCGTGGCGAGGGGTTAGGCCACGAGGCTCCCCAGCGCGGCGAGGGGTTAGGCCGATGGGAACATACACTGGCGTGCTCGAGCAGGTTAGCCAGGGCCGCGGCAGGCGACTACATCGAGCTCGAGCTCTACGAGGAGGACGACGACACTGCACCCCAGCACGGCGAGGGGTTAGGCCGTATCGACGATGAAGGACTCCCTCGAGGCGAAGGAGAACAAAGGGTCGAAGGGCGGCGTCATGATGGACAGGAGATAGTGGGGGTGCGGCCCCATGCGCACCACGACCCGATCTCCACGAGCCAGGGACAGCCCGACGACCGCTCCGAGTGGAGGAAAGCACCCCAGCGCGGTGAGGGGTTAGACCGCGTCAATGAGAGGGAGCAGTACGGAAAGCAGTACGTCGCACCCCAGCGCGGTGAGGGGTTAGACCGCAGCCGACCCTCGCAGGGCGAGACTGCGGGGTCAGGCGATCCCCAGCACGGTGAGGGGGTTAGACCGTAGGCTCCCCCTGCGTGGCGAGGGGTTAGGCCACCAACCCCAGCGCGGTGAGGGGTTAGACCGCGTTTTTCCCCCGCGTGGCGAGGGGTTAGGCCACAATTTTCCCCTGCGCGGCGAGGGGTTAGGCCGCAATGTGTACTTCGAGCTGGAGCTCTACGAGGAGGACGTCGTGGAGTTCACCGCCAGCGGCGTGTCGCAGGCGCAGCCCTGTGCGCCTGCCGCCGCCGCCGCCGCTCGCAGGCCCGCCGACGTGAACCCTTGTGTGCCAGTGCTGGCACCAAGGAGTGGGCCCTCGCTGGCCAGAGGGCCGTCGAGCGGCGGTGGAACTGACTGAGAGAGAAATCCACGGGCTCGCCATGTCGAGTGGGGGCTCCTGTGCCTGCTCGGGGTGGCGGGGGGTTCTAGTGGCGGCGTGGCCCTAACCTTAATCCTCCTCCGTCCTCCTCCTGCCTCCAACCTCCTCGTTCACCCTCCCTCTTCCTCTACCTCCTCCTCCTCCTATTCCACCTTCCTCCTCCTCTCCTCCTCCTCCTCCTTCCCTCCTCCTCCTCCTCCCCCTCTCCGCCCTCCTCCTCTCCTCCTCCCCTCGCCTCCTCCTCCTCTCCTGCCTCATCTCCTCCTCCTCCTCCTCCTCTCCCTGCAGGCGTAGCCGAGCACGGCGCAACATGTCATGGATCAACCCCGACTCTAGCCCATAGCCCGCGCCTTCAGAACCTCCCTCGCGGCTGTGCACGGTGCACGGGGGCAGTGGGTCGAGGAAGGAGGAGGGCGGGATGACCCCCCCCCACAGCCCCCTCTCCCATGCCGTTGCTCGCAACTCCTCCCCTCCCTCCCATCCTCATCACCTTCCCCTCGATCCCCCCCCCCGTGCTTCCAACCCTCTCCGCCTGCCTCGATCCCTCTCTGAACTCCCCACTTGCCTCTCCGCCGTCCCTCTTGCACCTCCGCCCGCCTCCGGCATCCCGCCCGCCGCCGTCTCCCTCCCTCCTCCAAGGCTACCCCCACATCGTGCCATGTCCTCGAAGGACACGCCTTCGGAGAGAATTGGATCCCTCCTTCTCCGGCCCTTTGTCCCTTACAGGTAGCTCCTCCCTCCCGCATCCCCAGACGTGTCAGTAGGGCGTGCCAGGCGTCTGGCCTGAGACTGTTTCGCCAGTTGTGACACTGAAGCTTGAACTTGGAATAGCTTCAAGGATGGAGGGCGGGTGTTTCTCGAACTGTGGCTATCGCCATAGGGCCGCGCATATTCGCTTGAAACGCTTACAACAGCTTCGAGTGAGGAGGGCAGGGGGTGTTCAGCATGGGGCTCTCGCATAAGCGCCGCGCACAGTCGTGTTAAACGTTAGCATTAGTTTCAACGACAGATACTGGTTCCTTGTCCAACATGTGGGCATCGCATTCCCGCCGCGCGCCTTCGTCTGCGAATCTTTTGTTTCGTGTCAACTAGTCGAAGGGTTGACGTCCAAGGAATGGCGTTCGGAACAAGTTTGGATTGTCGAGACGCAGAAGCACGTCGACTCGCAGCGTTAGAATTCTAGGACTGCCGCGCTGGCACGACTCAGACATGTCAAGACGCAAAAGTCACATTGAGTCGAGGCGTTGAAGTCCCAGGAATTGTGTGATAACCTATGGAGAGGGGGCTTGATGGGAAGGCATTTTGCAACATCGTTGATGAGTCTTGGGTTTGCGCTCCTCCTCCTCCTCCTGTTCCTCCTTCTCCTCTTCTTCCTCCTCCTCTTCCTCCTCCTCCTCCCCCTCCTCCTCCTCCTCCTCCTCCTCCTCCTCCTCCTGCTTCCTCCTCTCCTCTCTTGGCCTCACGTGCCATCCCTTCTCTCCAGTTATTACCCTTCCTCCCCTCCTCCTTCCTGTTCCTCCTCCACCTCCCCCCTACTTCCCCTCCTGTCCTCTCCTCATCTCTCATCTCCTCTCTCCTCCTCTGCCTCACGTGCCATCCCTCTTCTCCAGTATTACACCTCCTCCCCCTCCTCCTCCTGGATCATCCTCCAACCCTCCCCCTACTTCCCTCCTCCTCATCAGTCCTCCTCATCTTCCCTCCTCCTCCTCCTCCTCTGCCTCACGGCCATTCCACTCTCTCCACTATTACCCTTCCTCCCCCCTCCCTACTCCTGATCCTCCTACACCTTCCCCATACTTCCCCTCCTCCTCCTCCTCCTCCTCCTCCTCCTCTTCCTCCTCGACCTCCTCCTTATTCCCCCCCTTCCTCCTCCTCTCCCCTCCTTCCCTGGCCTCCTCTCCCTTTCCCCCCCCTCCCCCTCCGCCTTTCCCTTCCGCTCCGGCCTACGGGCGGGGACGTCAAGGTCAACGATGGCGAGGAGAACGACGACCGCGAGGACGACGACGGCATCGGCGACGGCGGCGAGGACGCCGACCGCATCGGCGGCTGCGACGATGATGGCAAGGACGGCGAGGGCGAGGAGGGGCGGCGGCGGCGGCGAGGAGCGGCGGCCCACGCCCCGCAGAGGCGAGGCCGCCGACGGGGGGCTCCGCTCCTCTGGATGCTGATGGCGGCGGCGCTCCGCTTGTCGCGGTGCGAGCGGTGCGAGCGCCACTTGGCCTGGCGGCCGCCGCCGCCGCCCTCCCTCCTCGGCGGCGCCGCCGCCGCCCTGGCCCCCGTCCTCGTCCACGCCCTCGTCCGCCTCGTCCAAATCGTCCAACTCGTCCTCGTCGTCGCCGCCGCCGCCGTCCTGGTCCCTGTCCTCGCCCAGGCCCTCGCCCTCCACGCCCTTGTCGTCCTCGTCGTCGTCCTCCTCGTCGTCATCGCCGCCGCCGCCTGTTGATGTTTTACGCGATTGTTCTTTTCCCGTCACAAATCCCCATCCCTCTCCGCCATTCCCGCCCCCTCCAAATCCACCCCTCTTCCGTAGGAACTCCAGCCAAGGGGGCACGACGAGGAGGCGGGGAGGCGGGCCAGGAAAATACGGTCGCTCCCTCGCACGAGCAACAGCAGCAGGGGAAGAGCTGCCTGGCCTGAATCTGGGATGCGGCGTTCCAGGTGGCCTGCATCAGCTCGGAGTTCTCCTCGAAGGGGCATCGGTGGGTCGGTGTGGCCATTCCTCGTTCTCCACTTCCTCATCCTCCTCCTCTCGACGTCATGCCTCTCCTCCTCAACCTCTTCCTCCAGCTCCCTCCTGATGAACAACGCCATCTGGTTGCGCCGCCAGGCTGTGTGCCACCAGACGGGTTGCACGGGCAGCCCGAGCAATCTCGCACGAGACATCCTGACAGCCAAAAGGCCCGCGAAGCTTGCACTTCCCATCGCCTACACGGATGGAGTGCGGGCCGGTTTCGAAACCTGGGTCTCGCCTGTGATGGGCCTGTTTTCCACCACCACCACCACCATCATAAGTTGGAGGGGAAGGGGATCCCCCTCCTCCTCCTCCTCCTCCTCCTCCGCCTCCTCCTCCTCCTCTTCGTCCTCCCCCTCCTCCTCCTCCTCCTCATCCTCCTCCTTCCCTCTTTCAACTTATGGTGGTGGTGGTGGAAAACAGGCTCATCAGCCTCAGCGCCACACACAGCCGCCGTTAGCTGTCCCCACAAAACGCGCGAACCTAGCGAGTTCAACATATGGCTCTCGGCGCTCGCCTTAGCGCACGCGCGCGCCAAGTATCATTCTCTCCATATGGCTCCCACATTGGACTGCCACGCTGAAGAAGCCCGGGGACACAATCAATAGACACACACGTAACAAGATTCCCCATATGTTCTGGGTTGTTGTCCCCCACTTCCCATATGTTCCCATCATTTTCCGGAGGATCGACGATTAAGTGTGTCTGTGTGTTCTCCCCCCTGACACACATGAATGTCCAATAACTGCAAGAAGATGAAGGCGGTTCGTCTTCAAACTCGTAGTTCTGTCGAGCAGACACGGCCATGCTCAAATCCCAGAGATGAGACAGTTGCGAAGCAAGAGGGCGGCACTGTGTCAAATGTGGCTCTCGCAAGAAGCCCTGGTACCCTACATGACCCGAAAGTGCGCAATGTCAGCGAAGTGCAGAGGTGGAGCGGCCCCCTCCTAAACTCGAGCGCTCGCCCGAGACTTACCGATACGCGGGTAACAGAACATTTGAACGCTCAAGCAGTTGCTCGGACTATAACGCGGTTCCCTTTCACAGTGGTGATCACGTTCTGGCGGCGCACACATGGCTGAACGCATCTGCTAGCTGCATCGACGAACCACGGTCCCATCCCAAAACACCTGCGTCTTGCAGATTGAAGCCGAGAGTGCACATGATCGCTGATGCGCCATTCGAAGCACAGAAAGATCACACCATGCGAGACCCACAAGAACCTCACCCCGAAGAACTCACATGCATTGCACTATGAGGGGGAGAGGGGGCCTTCGGGCATGACGGCAGTGGTGCTGTCCGCGTGTGCTACTTTTGCTCAGGTCCTCCTGCTAATCCACCCTCCTCGTCCTCGTCCTCGTCCTCCTCCTCCTCCTCCTCCACATCTTCCTCCTCCTCCTCCTCCTCCTCCTCCTCCTGCTACTGTTCCTCCTCCTCCTCCTCCTCCTGCTCCTCCTGCTCCTCTCTTCCCTGCTGATCCTCCCGCCGCGGCTCTTCCCTGCCACGGGCTGCGAAGGGGGCTGGCCCTGGCACCTCCAGGAGCCTTCCGGGAACGCCTAGGAAGGGAGCAAGGGGGGGGGGCGGGGAGGGGATTCATTTGTGTTTGTCCGTCCAACCCGCCCGACAGGGTTGCGACGTTTTGTTTTTTATTGGGAGGGCGCCGAGGGACCGAGGGAGAAGAGGAGGAAGACGAGGCCGGGGGGGAAGCAACGACGAACCCAAAAGCGCAGAAACGACAACGCGGGAGGAAAGGAAACGAAAGAGGAGGACGAGACAAGACGACAAGAGGGGGCGGGGAGGAGAAAATAGTTGGAAAAGGAGAAGGTTATCAGCGTCGTCCTCCACTCCGTCCTCCGCCCGTTCGTCTTCCATTCGTTTTCCTTCAAGGTAGCTCACTCCTCCCCTGTCGTACCACCAAATGTGTCCGTAGGCCGGGCTGGGCGTTTCGCCTGACACTTCTTCGCCACGCACGATCCTGAAGCTTGAGAGCTGCAGCAACCTCAATGATGGAGCCAGGCCGCTCTCCAACATGTGGCCTTCGCCGTAGCGCCTCTCACGCTCGTTTCAAAACCTGCCATCGCATGGAGGCTGGCTCGTTTTCAAAATGTGGTTCTCCCTCCTTTGGGCGCTGCGCACAATCGGACTAACAACTCGCAACAACTTCAAGTATGGAGGTTGGTTCATGTTTCAAAATGTGGGTCTCGCCAGTGCGGCACGGCCTCTCATACAACCCAACCCTCAGCATCCTACGCAGAAAATGCCATCCACTCGGTGCACATTCGCCCAACCCACTTCTGACTATCATATGCAAAAGCAAGAGAGTCGGATCACACCTATACGTCCCAACCCTCTCCGCTCGATGCACATACGTCCTACATGGCGCACACCCGTACGATCCAAACCTAAGCTGCGTTTATGCAAGAAACGCTTCGGTGCATATCCACCCAACAAGGCCATCACAACTCGATGCATTATCTACCATTCGGTGTACATCTAAGGCCCAGTCTTCGTCATCATATGGGAGAAATGCCATCCTGCTCACATCCACCCGACCCCATCCTCACCAT